ATATATATATATATATATATGTATATATATATATATATGTATATATATATATATGTATATATATATATATATATATGCTTACGCCCCCCCCCCATGATCCATAATATGCTTGCTTTTGGTAAGCAGTGGATCATGGGAGGTGGGCAGCTTCGGATGCTGAAACACTGCCAGGCTCGAAAATCACCAAAATGCCTGAAGCCTGAAGTGCGAAAACACTGGCAGGGATCAAAAATCACCAAAATCCCCAAAATGTCAGAGACTATGGCCCCGCACTCCGCATAGTTGCCAGGATTTTGGGAATTTTGGGGATTTTTGATCCCTGCCAGTGTTTTCGCATTTCAGGCTTTACAAATTTTGGGGATTTTCGAGCCTGGCGGCATTTCGCCAACGTCGGATGCTAAAACACTGCCAGGCTCGAAAATCCCCAAAATTCCTGAAGCCTGAAGTGCGAAAACACTGGCAGGGATCAAAAATCCCCAAAATCACCAAAATGTCAAAGACTATGGCCCCTCACTCCGCATAGTTGCCAGGATTTTGGGAATTTTGGGGATTTTTGATCCCTGCCAGTGTTTTCGCATTTCAGGCTTTACAAGTTTTGGTGATTTTCGAGCCTGGCGGCATTTCGTCAACGTCGGATGCTAAAACACTGCCAGGCTCGAAAATCTCAAAATTTTGCAAAACTAAACACCCATGGCCCCATAGATGCCACGAATTTGGGAATTTTGGTGATTTTTGATCCCTGCCAGTGTTTTCGCATTTCAGGCTTTACAAATTTTGGGGATTTTCGAGCCAGGCGGCATTTGCTAACCTTGGATGCTGTGTTCCTATTATGTCTTTGTTTGTCACGTGTATACACATGGCATATGCTTTGTTTTAATGCCATGTCAAGGTGCGGTATGTTCCACGACATATACGTTGCAGTTCTCTCCCGAGTGAAAGTCATCGTTTGTGTCCCTCTTTTCCTCTTTTCCAGCATGATCCGCGACGGGGGTGACATATCCTTGCAAGATGCTCTCGATGCCACCAATTCCTTGAGATATTGTATCAAAACACACCACACCCGACGACAATCTGTGAAGTAAAACATTTGCAGTAGATATACAACATATACTTTGACATGCCATGTTGCACCAGACGCGCGGCACATGAGTTACGTGATAGTTTTGTGGAAGTATCGATATTACGATGAGTACTGTTCTTAATAATATGAGTACTAGTGTTTGCTGTAATAGTATACATGTCAGTATTAGTAAATATAAATTAGTGTCAGTGCTCATGCTCGTGTTAGAGTTATCGCTAGTGCCAGTGTCAATGTCAGTAATACAGCACGACTAGTATATCAATAGATTATTAATGCATTCGAACAGTAACATATTTGTATACTTGCATACTTGTATATTTGATATGTTAATACAACTGGTGCACGAGTACACTAGTATATTGGTGTATTAGTTTACTAGTATGTGTGCTGTATATTGTCTAGTCATATTTACAAGTATATCAGTATGTTGGCATATTAGTCTACTAATTTGTCATGTCGGTATACTTGCATGTTGCAGTAGTCGTATATTAGTATACTCACATATTAGTATAGCATATTCATACATTAACGGGAAGTATATTATTACATTGGTATATGGGTATATGTTTATGCCAAAACATTAGTACATGAATGCACTAATGTATATATCTGTATCTTAAGATAGTGGTATGTATTTTTATGTACATTAATATATGCAGGTGTCTATTAGTAAGGAGATTAGTATTCATATCAATACGAATATACTATTGGTATTCGTAGGAGTATTGATGTTGATATTAGAACTAAGACTATGCATAGTCGTATTAGCCATAATATAAGTGTTCATGCTGGTAATAGTACTGGCATTCATGAATATACAACAGATTATCAATATCCGTATCACTGTTGGTGATAGCATTATTGTTAACACCACAAGAGTTTATGTATTCGTACTCGTAGGAGTATCAATACTATTGCAAATATTGATGTTAGTATAAATATTGTGATAAGAATTATTAGTAGTAGTATTAGCGTTAGTACCATAATATTATGAACACACTTGAAGTATGTGTCACGCTTTCCAGGCAATCAGGCAATGACCAGGAAGATTCGAAGCTGCCAGTTTGAGTATTGGCATCGGCACCAAAACATGGCGACAGTGACAGGCAACATGTTGAAGTTTTTGCACAACCACCGGTGATGCCTCCTGAAACATGGAGTGCCAGGTTTTGGATGGAAGAGCGGAGCCCGAAAGTGAAATCAGAATCCGTTTCGGGTTTCGTGGGGATATAACATGTGAGAACAAATTACAACATGTAGAGCTAAGTAGATGCTAGGTGCAGAAAGTACCGCGAATACCGATGATTTTGTATGTAGGTGAAGTCATGTAGAAATCGAAGCATGAGCAGCAGGAGGTAGAAAAAAACATGGTATGGATCATGGGGGGGGGGGGGGCGTGACCATATATATATATATATAAACATACACATGTATATGTCAATGTGTATGTATATATATACATATATGCATGCGCAACAAAGTAGATATGTGCATGTACGTATAAGCCCAATCGCATTGTGACTGCACATACGGGTGGGGCATCTCTGAGCTTACGGACTTCTTCTTCCAGCTGGCGGATCTTGTCCAGGATCTCTTTGGATGCCATGAAGCCAACAAGGATCGAAACAAAAAGAACAAATCGTGGAACCAAAATGCCTCGTGGACACCACAGTCAACGGGGCCCAGTGCACATGAACTTGCTTTACCTTTCAATAAAGTCTCCGTGTAAGCTGCTGACCATCGATACACCTTTGCAATCCAAGTTTCCCCAATTTAGGGGTCCACACCAACATGCGCTGTTTGAAGAAAAGCTGCTTCCTGAATTCCAACATATTCCAACTGACAATTCAGCAGGTGCTGCCTCCAAGTGTTCTTGAGATGCCTTCGTGGAAAGCACGGAAAGAGGAGGAAGAAGGAACAGCAAACAAAACAAGGCCATACAAATGGCCTTCTTACCACATCGGCTTTGCAAACTAGTTTTTGATGATTTTGGGAAACATGTTGCAGTTCGTGCTGGCCGTAGTTTCGGATTATTGTGCATGATGGAGAATGGCCTATCAAAGATCTATTCTGGTGACTTTCGGCGTCTTGAGGTTTTGCCATTGTCACGAAATGGTGAATCTGTGACATGTTGCTACACATGCCGAGGTTTACGGTTTCTTGCGTGCGCAGCGGCTTCGAAAGGATCTTTGTGCAGGCGCGACATTCATGATACTCATGGCACGGTTCGCCCCCGCGGAGGATGAACAACACGTACTACAGGATACTGTCAATACAACAGCAGATCACAATACTTCATACAACATTATGCTGTGCAGTCATACACAATAATATACGATCATGTGCAGTAATACGGCAAGCGACAAAGTGAGCTGCCACCACCTTGCAAAGAAAGCCCTCAAGCCCTGAACCCTACTGTAACTTACACCTCACCCACTCGTAGCGTTTTAAGGGACATACAGTGACATACATTTCAATCTCAGAGATGATTATGACTGCTCCGCTTCACGCACCAGTCACAATATGCCTCTAGGCGAGTGCACTGCTTTGTTTACGTAGCTCTGGCCGCTCTCGTCAAGTTAAATATGCTATACGGTCGGACGGCAGAGCTCGTTTTTGGCGCCTCAATTGCGGTTCACCCAAAGTCGCCGCCACGGCCTGCCGCGCAGCTCTTGTCAGTCAGCGTATCACTGAGGCAAGACATCAAGCCTTCTCTTGCATCCATGCGGGCTGCGCAGAGCTTATTTCAGACGTAGATTGGAATAGCAGCGTCGGACAAAAATGATCGCTCAACATGTCATAGAGAATTGCTCCCAAGCTGGTCCCATGTCCATGGAATCTCTGCAACCATTCCTGCTCACAACTCCTTTCGATCCGGGATTGCCTTTGCTTCGCCGCTATTTCGAAATTGGATTCATTTTCACACTGTCTGTATCGGACCTCCCATTCCGCTTCATGGCGGATCTATCGGCAGCCTATTTACTAGTTGCGTAATTCGGGCCTGCTGGAGGTCCTCTACTGAATGCACCGCAGTCCGGTGCACGAAGCAGTCCAGACTTGGCGTCGCGCCAAGGGTAGAAACAGCTCGTCGAATGAGCATCCACCGATTGGTGGGATTCTTGGTACTAGAAAATTAAATACTGGTATCGGACGCAGAGGCAAAGCTCAGCATTTGGGAGGCCGGGGTTGGGCTGTTGGTTGCTGCCTGGATGGGATCGCCGCTGCTTTCACGATGCAACTTGGCAACTCTGCGGCCGTTCGATGATTCAAAGACTTCAGACGAGTCTATCTTTAAGCGTTCAGCGCACGCGGCCATATGCCCATGCGGTGGGATAGGCCATTCGAGCCTGGAGCCAGTCACTGGCCTTGACTACCACCTTGCACGCCAACAGCAGCACGAAATCCGGGGAGCCAGCAGTTGGTGCCACGACGCCTGCAGTCTGCCATCTGCAGAACAGCAGAAGTCGAACCTGCAAAACTCGTGCCTCGGGAAGTGGGCTGACGTGGAGTGCTCGGCGTGGCCTGGGCTCCATGGCCTGAACAAAGGAAGCCACTGCATGATTTTCCGGGCTGGAGCGTGTCAGGACCCGTCGCGCAGCAGTCGCCTGTTACAACGCGCCGGGAAACTTGGACGGGGCTCGAGCCAGCCACTCTGCTGCCCACCCTGCCATTGTGCGCTGCGTCTACGAATCTTGCCACATCTCTGCCCGCCAAGGACCGGACACCACAGGGCGAACGACGTAGCGCGCCTGGCTGGTCGCCTCGACTCATCTTGACATCATGATTGAAACCTCAACTTCGGTGAACCAACCGTCCGCACCCAAATTGCAGCCTGTTGATCCGGGCGCACTTCTGGAACCTGCAGTCCAGAAGGATAAGGGCCGGAGGGCTGGTCGTGTCGTTGACAGTCGTCGCTTGGTTGTCGGCACGGGCTGTGCGCGCAGAGCTCGAGAGAGTGACCTTCGCGAACCGATACAGCGATCTGCGAAGGATTACGTCCGCTCAGCAATCCGTCTGCAATCCGTGGATATGCCTGAAACCCTAGGTCGCAGTACTCCACCGGCAGTTCGTTTCTCGTCTTCTGCGGGCTTTGCAATATTTGCAGTAAGCACGCGGCACGATGTGACGGGTTGGGCGATGCAACCTCGGCCAAAAGGGCCGCAAGCAACAAAGCAGAACAAAGCCTTAAGCATCGTTCGCGTTGCTGCGCTTCGGCTTGGAACCCGGCCATGCGGTGAGCCACCTGGACCATCGCACTTTGGAGCCGGAAGGCAAGTTGAAAGTTCCATATGCACTGACGGTTGCCTTGCTTGCCTCTGGCACACCTGGCAAGGGCAACTGATAGCGAACATGCATGCATTTCAGATATGTAGGCGCATAGCTAACCCCCCCCGGCGTCGCGCGTGGAGAAGCGCAGACCCTACTTGTGTCGCTGTGATTGTGTGGAAAAATCACTGTAGTCAACTCAGTTCGACTGCACAGCTGGTGAAGTCTGCTTGACTTTCCGCTCCAGATCGACGCACATGTTCAAGCACGCGGCCCAGGCGGACTCTCACATCTGGCCGACCGTGGGATCCGAGTCTCCCCTTCTGGCCCCACGCCACCACCTGGCCGCCAAAGGCCTTTGGTCCATCCTGGGGACGCTTTGGCCTATTCGCTCCATGGAGGCCGCGTGGCTCAATGATCCGCAATACGCAGCACGGTCGCGGTGGAGTTCCAAACGCGGTGGCGGACACCAAGTCCGAGCCCGGGGCGGATGGTTACCTGAATTCTTTTCACACGGCCCTGAATCATGAGAGAAAGGCGGAGCAGAGAGTCACCAGAATGGAGCAAACGAGAAAGAAGACGGATTCTCAATGGAAGACGTACTAGAGGGCGATGAGTGAGGTGTACATCAAAGAGAGGCAGAGATGTCAGCAGAAGCTGCCATCTGGACTTGCCCGCGAGTGCCTTGAGCCCGTCCGGACATGGCTCGTGAGGAGTGGCTTTAGAGTTGAGCCCGGCGGTGGTGTGAGCTCCCCTCTGGGTTGCTCTTTTCCATCCCTGTTTCACCATTGGATTTGATGCGAGAGGCGCATCCTCCGGACACGTGCCTACCGAAAAGGCAAGACATATACTTATACATATATACATATATATATATATGTATATATATATATATATATATGTGCGTAGGACCTCTCTGCGCTATTTGAGTAACTGCTTCTTCTAGTATGAGCAGTTAAAGGGCAGGCTCTGTGGGCAGTGTGAGTTTGGTCTCTGGGGGTCTGGAATTCTTTTAAATTTTTAAAATTGTTGAAATTTTTGAAATTTTTAAAATTTTTAAAAATTTGGCCTTTGGGGGTCTGGAATTCTTTTTAAATTTTTAAAATTTTTAAAATTATTGAAATTTTTAAAATTTTTAAAAATTTGGCCTTTGGGGGTCTGGAATTCTTTTTAAATTTTTAAAATTTTTAAAATTTTTGAAATTTTTAAAATTTTTAAAAATTTGGCCTTTGGGGGTCTGGAATTCTTTTTAAAATTTTTAAAATTTTTGAAATTTTTAAAATTTTTAAAAGTTTGGCCTTTGGGGTCTGGAAATTTTTAAAATTTTTAAAATTTTTGAAATTTTTAAAATTTTTAAAAATTTGGCCTTTGGGGGTCTGGAATTCTTTTAAAATTTTTAAAACTTTTAAACTTTTTGAAATTTTTAAAATTTTTAAAAATTTGGCCTTTGGGGGTCTGGAATTCTTTTTAAATTGTTAAAATTTTTAAAATTTTTGAAATTTTTAAAATTTTTAAAAATTTGGCCTTTGGGGGTCTGGAATTCTTTTTAAATTTTTAAAATTTTAAAAATTTCAAAAATTTTAAAAATTTTAAAAGTTTTAAAAATTTAAAAAGAATTCCAGACCCCCAAAGGCCAAATTTTTAAAAATTTAAAATTTTCAAAAATTTTAAAAATTTTAAAAATTTAAAAAGAATTCCAGACCCCCAAAGGCCAAATTTTTAAAAAATTTAAAAATTTAAAAATTTTAAAAAATTTAAAAGAATTCCAGACCCCCAAAGGCCAAATTTTTAAAAATTTTAAAAATTTCAAAAATTTTAAAAATTTTAACAATTTAAAAAGAATTCCAGACCCCCAAAGGCCAAATTTTTAAAAATTTTAAAAATTTCAAAAATTTTAAAAATTTTCAAAATTTTAAAAATTTAAAAAGAATTCCAGACCCCCAAAGGCCAAATTTTTAAAAATTTTAAAAATTTCAAAAATTTTAAAAATTTTAACAATTTAAAAAGAATTCCAGACCCCCAAAGGCCAAATTTTTAAAAATTTTAAAAATTTCAAAAATTTTAAAAATTTTAAAAATTTAAAAAGAATTCCAGACCCCCAAAGGCCAAATTTTTTAAAATTTTAAAAATTTCAAAAATTTTAAAAATTTAAAAAATTTAAAAAGAATTCCAGACCCCCAAAGGCCAAATTTTTCAAAATTTTAAAAATTTCAAAAATTCTAAAAATTTAAAAAATTTAAAAAGAATTCCAGTTTCCCAGAGACCAAACTCACAGAGGTTTTGAAACGAGTTCCAGATCTCCAGAAAGCGTGCGTTCGCTCTTTTGCATTCACCTCATTATCGTTTAGCGCATGAAACAACAGGGAAACAATTCTGAGTGAAGGGTGAGATGAAGTGAATGAGTTCGTTCCTGATTTTCAAGGAACGAAGTGTCAGGGAGAAACAAGTGAACGAACGCATGAACGAAACACGGTCTCAACGAGTAACACGCCAGGAATTGGACCGTTGACTGCAAAAGCCCTGATTACAAAAAGTAAGCATGCGCGAGTTGATCTTTCATTGACTAAATCTGGCTCTTTTGCGTCTGTCTTCATTCATATAAACTTAGAAGATACCACTATAGATTACCTATAAAGATGCCATTAGATTCCAGTTGTACTTCCAGCATTATAAACTCATTTTAGTGTAAGGTGGGAAGTGAAGGGAACCAAAATACCCATTTTAGTGTAAGGTGGGAAGTGAAGGGAACCAAAATACCCATGCTAAACTAACGAAATGAAGAGAATGTAAGGAACGCACGTTTTCCTCTGTTTCAGTACATGAGAGTTTGATTCGTTTGTCTCGTTCACCCCGTGGTGCGTTTCACGATGAACGAAGCACGCTTTCTCTTATGCTACATTGTCTTCGTTCACTTTAAACTACACCACCTTTGATTACAGGAAAGCCAGTCAATGTAGGATGTGGAGCGAAGCGAACCCCAAAAGGACAAACTAGTGTAATGCAAGGAACAGAATGGTAAAGGATGCGCGCCTTTTGCTTCGTTTCATTATGCTAGTTTGGGTCTTGTTGGTGTTTTCTTGCAACTTTTCCCTTTACAATGAAATGCACAACCCGAAAGAGCAAATGAAAACCAACACAACAAAAGGCGCGCTTACATTTCATTGCCATATTGTCGCATTAGGTTTAATTAAAGCTTGTGGGATCCATGCTTGGCAGTGAGCTTGGAAAAAGATGTGAGGAAAACGGAATGTTGGATGTACCGTGACTGGCGGTTAAACTCAGAGAATGACTCGCGAGTCCACGGTCAACCTTGTGCCTGATTACATTCGTAGCAAGGCCAAGCGAGATGATCAAAACATACACTTCGTTTGTGTTTCTTCATTCGCCTCACTTTGTTATTCTCTTATTATGATAAAATGGAGTGAAGAATGAACGGAACCCAAAAGAGCCAATGTAATTGAATTGAAGGTAACATAGAGAAACGAAGGCATGGTTTAATTCATTTAAAGCTGGGTTTTGTGGCTCTTGTTTCATTTCGTTGTCTGCAATTATGAAACGAAGTGCAAGCCGTGCGTCTCTTACGCTTCATTCATTTCGTTTCATATTAAAGCACAAAGGAAAAACAAGTATTGGATTCTTCAGTCTAATTATCTTCCCGGCTCTTCATTCTAATTATCTTTCCCTTTTCTGTTTTATGTGCTGGTAATGTAATCAAAGAGGAGACAGCATGAAGGTCATAAAAGGCAAAGTAGAAAGTGAAAATAATGAAGGTAAATAAGCAGAAATCAAAGCTAACATATTTTAGGCTTACATCCTTTTTCCTTTCCTACAACTACGATTGCTGTTTCCGTTCAGTTCCTGTTTTCGTTCCTTTTGTGCTTGGCTCATTCACGCTTCCATTCCTTTCGACGGTACTGACCCGAACAAGAAAGGAACGAAAGAAGGAACAGAATGAACGGTTAGACCAAGATATGACATGCAAGGGAGAGGAATAAGCGCACGGAACGCACGGTTCCTTTCACACCCTTCATGTCATTTCTTGCGAGAACAGAATGACCAGGAAACTAATGATAGGGTTATATCACAGGGAATTGAGGATGTTAATGGTGAAAGACTTCTTTCATCTAACTCGATCTCTTCATGAAATTTCCTATCTTGTGATGTGTCCTTTGTTGAGACTTGGTGGGCTTTCTTGAACTAAAGCGAAAACAAATCAAATCAAGGAAATGCCTGCTTTGCCAGCACCATGCATACAAGGGCTTCATCTGGATCATTCTTCTGTGTCATGAGTCGTGCATGTATGATGTTAGTTTTAATAAGCGAAAAGCATGCGTTCCTTCTGTCATTCATCCATGCACACCATTCACTTCTCATCTTTCACTCATCATCGGTTAACCCTTGATTTGTGGTTCGCCAGGGACAATAGGCTCATGAATCCCAATTTCTTATAAAGGGATTCTGATGGCACCTCCATGTCGGCTCATGTTTTCGTTTTCTTTGTGCTTCGCTTAATAGACATAAACCATGCATCAGTTCCTTCTTTATGTTTAAATTACGCAAAACAATGATGAACGAAACCGTGAGATCGCCTGCTGACATTTTGTTGTTGGGTTTAATTGTGGTGTGTCTTGTGCGGTGAAACAAAGGATGAAAACGTGTGCCGCATTCAACTGAAATAAAGCAAGTTTTTGCTCCGCTTCATTGTCTTTGTTTCATTTAAGCAGGCACATCGTTCCTTCTTACTGTTCCACCTTTCACTCGTTACCTTGGCTTTGTGGGAATAAAGAACACATTTTGTTCAATGAAAAAGACCGCGGTCCTTCTGTCACCTACCTGTTACTTAATTGAAACAAATGAAACCAAAATTGCCTCTTCATGGACAGAAAACTTCTGTTGGTTGACTTGGGCTTTGATCGTAGGACACAAACCGTCAGACACCTTGGAAATTAATGACTTGGTTTCTGGTTCCGTTCGTATTGTGTTGTATCTTTTTGAATCAACGGAACATGCAATCGTTATTCGCTTCTCTTTGCTGCAATAAGATGAGACACGCAACATTCTCATATCTTGTGGGTTCCTTGTTTCGTTCATAAAGAGCCCAATTTAATGTGAATAAAAGGTAAGGAAACACGCTTTTCTTCCTGTTATATCTAGCTCTTTTAATTACAGCCACGTGGCATGATCCTACAAGAGAAAAGTTGTCAGAAGATTCGATGTCATATTGTCATTAGAATCATTAGAAGATCCCATTTAAAGAGAGATCTAAGCCTACAATATAAGTCTCCAGAATGTGTGGTGCGTGAACTGAAGAGAGCAACAAACACGCTCTCATTTCATTCCATTCCACAATCACCACATCTCCAAGACGGAAAAGATTATAGATAGACAAATAACTGTTGGTAAAGGGTGATGTCGTTCCTATGTTGTCTGTTTTTGTCTTAATCGCGCATACTTTCTATTTTCACTTCTTTGCATTAACTAAAACAAACTAAACAAAAGACTGACTTCATTGTGTTGACTTGGACTTGTTTCACGGCTGGAACTCGGATGGTGGATCTGTGGTTAGTTTTCTTGGTCACTATTTCGTTCATCACAAAGCCCCGTACATTTACAGTCAAAGCATGATTTCATTCGGTTTCCTTATCTTAAACTACAAATGATTTGACTTCTCTGATTGTCTTCATAGTTTTATAATTTAACTGCCAGGAAGCCAAGTGAACTAACTCCTGATGTGATTCGTGCCTGGCTGTGAGTTGTGGGCGGTGGCGTCGTGAATTTGAATAAAGGAATCATGCTCCGTTCCTTTCGCTTTGCTCTCTACACTACATTCTCTTATCTTCTTTTCACTAAAGGCAACGCCCACCGATCAAGCTGCCTGACTAAGGCCGTGTCCATTCAATCGATTAGGGGCTTATTCTACTTGTACATATATCGAAGAAGATTTTTCAGTTAAGATGTCATGTTGTGGCCTGTGGCCCGGACAACTTTAGATTGCGGCAAGGCGCTCATTTCGGGTGCACACGAAGCCAAACACTATGTCACTACATGTTGCAGCGGCATGTCAAACTGCCGAAGCCTTACCCATTCAGTCGACCAAAGGCTGACTCAAACTATACATAAAGGTCCATGGCACATATATATATATAGGGCCCAAATCGCCTGCGCAGGGCAGGAATATTGTAGGCCCCAGCACCCGCCATGGGTGCGTCTGCCGGCTACGGGCAAGCAATGCATAGCGGCAAGTGTGCCATGCACAAGCTGGGCATTCAGGTTTTGCATTCACCCGACATGATGGCGATCATGGACGCAAAGGACACACTGTGTAAGGTGACTTTGTTGAGCATTCGTTCGGAGGACATGCTCGCAGACCACACAGCAGATGAGTTTGCAACTGGCTTCAAGAAGAGGCCGGCTTTTCAGCTGCGCGGCATCAAGCAGAACAGAGGCTCGTCATGCGAGGGAGAATGGATCACCAAGCGGCAACCTAGCAGCTCATGCCCTTCACCTGTTGCGATGGTGTTTACGGGTTCGAAGGACATGCTGTGCAGAGTGGCCATATTGAACATGGGCTGGGAGGACTCGCTCGCACCACTCACCATAAAGGAGTCTGCGACTGGCTTCAAGAAGTCGCTGGCTTTCAGGCCGCACGGCATCAAGCAGAGCAGAGGCTCGTCAGGCGAGGGCGTTTGCACCACCAAGCGGCAACCTGGCAGCTCATGCACTTCACCCGATGTGATGGTGTTTATGGGCTCGAAGGACATGCTGCGCAAGGTGGCCATGTTGAACATATGTGTGGAGATGGCTTGGAGGACAATGCTCGCACACTTCACCGTGATGGCTGCCATCAAGAAGACGCCGGCTTTTCAGCTGAGAGGCATCAAGCAGAGCAGAGGCTCGTCAGGAATTTGCGGCTGGCTGCATGAAGACGTCGGCTTTCCAGCAGTGCGCCATCAAGCAGAACAGAGGCTCGTCAGGCCTTCGATCTAATGACGCTGACTCCGCTATCCTGGCTTAGCAGTTCCTGATCATGTAAGTGAGTGATGCTGGAGCGCTTTAGATTTGCGTGTGGAGGTCCTATGGCCTTCATGCTATGGTTGAGTTTGATGTCCCGATATCACCTCGATGAAGGTGTTAGACATCCTGGGTATTGTAACCGTGTAGGAATGGCCTCAGCTGATACCCATGAGGAAGATCCTGCACGTCTTGGGTCCGATATGTGGATCGTGCGTTGTCTGATGCTTTGATCGCCGTTTACGGAATACAAAGCATCCTTTGTTTGCCGTGCATTCTCAGGCATTCTTCCATGCGCCATCTTTGATTTTGTTGTGGGGTTGGGCCAGCTTTTCCGTTTGCTGGCTACATCCCACCCCTGTCCGGTGAGCGCATACTATGTCAATAGATTTCTGCGCCACCCCACTTTCAATTAAATGCAGTTTGAATTCACCTTGCTAGGCGAGCGTCGTTTACCGACTCAACCGCAGAGAATGAAATGAATGATATATATATATATATATGTAAGAACATATATATATATATATAGATGTATACAAGCACACACACATCCCGCCCCCCACAACACACCCACACCCAAACTTGCACGCGGCGCGACTCCGACAAGGCAAAATCTTCCTTAGGGTGGCTTTGGCTTGGTGTTAGCGGCAGCTCGGCCTCGGGAGCTGGGCTGGCGAGGAGTGCTCGGTGCAGTCTGCGGCGTTCCTCCAAAAGCGCAAGCGAAGCCGTGACGATGATTCAACCACAGGCTACAGCAGGCAGTCTTCTCAGAAACAGCTGTGAACTTGGCAAGCCATTGTGTCGAAAATCAACCCGCTAGCCAAGCCTTGGATCACAGGCCGTGATGGCACAGTGCTGGAGCGCGCAACGCTGGCCGGGGTTTGCGCCATCCTAATCGACCAGAAGCGCTAGCATGCTCAGATGCACAGCAGCATCCAAGAGCACATGTCTGTCCCGGCACCCTCGCATACCCTCACCCTCTTCCCGCTTCCCCTCTGTGCCTCAGCACGTAGTGGGCCTGGCCAGCTCAAGGTCTCGACTGCGCTTGGTTCCTTCTCGGCAGCTTCTCCGTTGAGCCTGAATATCCATTCGAATGTCTGCCGCCACCTCAAACATGCAAACTAACGACTGTGGGGAATGACGGTAGGGGGGAACACCTTCTCTGGAGCATCTATGATGCGCACTCCGCCAGAGGAGCTTGCAATGGAAGGAGTCGGAGAGTTTGGGACCTTTGTAAGTGACGACAATCATGTCTGAATTACCTGCAATCACACCCCGGTGTGGCTGTGAAGTCCCGGCTGCCACCCGTGCAGATGTCGGGGTGTGGCGAGCTACCTTAACGAGGACAGCAGATTGGAAGAACCTAGAACAACTAAAACAAGCTTGAAATTCCCGGTGATGCTGTGACTAAACATCTGGGAGTCCCGAGCGATGTCTTGCGGACTGGCCTTGGAGAGATCCGAGATACCGATGCGCAGTGTCTCTCTCTAAGCATCTCTTCTCCTCCCTCCCTCCTTCCCTCCCTCCCTCCCTGTGTCTCTCTGCCTCTCTCTCTGCCCCTCTCTATCTCTCTCTTGCTTGCTTGCTTGCACGGCATCTGAGGCAGAGAGGTAGGACCCCTCCAACCCTGCACTCACGCGCTACGCCGAGTGTTCTCTCTCTCTCTCTCTCTGTCTCTCTCTCTCTGTCTCTCTCTCTCTCTCTCTCTGTCTCTCTCTCTTTCTTTCTCTCTCTCTCTCTCTCTCCTCTCTCTGTCTATCTGCCTCTCTCTCTCTGGCGCAACCAGGGGTGCGGCGCCAGCACGTGCTGAGGTAGGTCGTGTCACCTCGGTTGAGACGCCGCTCTCACGAAAAGTTACCCCCGTCGCGACCCACGGAAACACTTTCATCCTGAAGTAAAACTCTCTGGCCCAAGAGAGCATCGGCCTCTATTGATGGCCTCCACTTCCGAATTACATGAACTGCTATGTCCGACTACCAACGGTACAGTCAAAGCCAGAACTTTCTCAAGGACATTCTTGTGCCGCCGACTCCAATTCTGCCAGAGGTTGGCGGAGAAACCTGCACATAAGCTCCTACTTGACACTATCATGAATCCCAGAAGTGCATAGTCTAGTTGCTGGCAATCTATTTGTTGTGTGCCAACATATGCAAAGGCATCATGCATCCTCTAGAGATCCTAAAAAATCCGTCCAGGACGTGCGTTGGTCTGTCCTTGACGCCACAGCTGTTCCAATGATTCACAAGTTTGCTGCTACTGCTACTTCTACTACCGCTACCGCCAACACAACCACCAGGACCAGCACCAACAAGAACACTATCAATAACAAAAACAACAAGAACATCTTCAGTAACAAGACCAACAATACCAAGAAACACAACACAAACAACAAGAACAACACGACCAACATGGACAGAAACAGCAATGACGACAACACCAACACCAACCCCATCAACAGCACAGCAGAACCAGCAGCACCACCACCGACAGCAGCAACAACAGCGACAAGAAGAAGACAGTTGACAGTCAATGACACTGGCAACCAACAAAAACACCACCACCAACAACAACAACAACAACAATCACAACCACAACCACAACACGGCAACGGAAACGGCAACAGCACCAACACTAACAACCACCACCAACAACAACAACGCCGCCGCCACCACCACCAACAACAAAACACCAACACCAACACCAACACCAACACCAACACCAAGAACAACAACAAGAACGAGAACAACAACAACAACAACAACAACAACAACAACAACAACAACAACAACAACAACAACAACAACAACAACAACAACAACAACAACAACAACAACATTATTAACATTAGCAACGCCAACACATACAAACACCAAAAGCACCACCACCACCACCGCCGCCACCAGCACCACCACCGCCACCACCACCGGCAGCAGCAGCAGCAGCCGCGGCAGCAGCAGCAGCAGTAGCAGCAGCGGCGGCAGCACCAGCAGCACCAGCACCAGCACCAGCACCAGCACCAGCACCAGCACCAGCACCAGCACCAACACCAGCACCAGCACCAGCACCAGCCCCAGCGCCAGCGCCAGCGCCAGCGCCAGCGCCAGCACCAGCGCCAGCGCCAGCACCAGCACCAGCACCAGCACCAGCACCAGCACCAGCACCAGCACCAGCACCAGCACCAGCCGCGCCCGCGCAAACACCAACAACACCAACAACAAAACCAACAGCACCACCAAGAACACCAAAAACACCAACACCAATACAAAGCCAACAACACCAGCATCAACAACACGGTACAAGCAAAAACTGCAGCCCCGTCAACGGTGTGTATGTGCAAGGAGTTTGTGTGTATATGGTCAGGCGTCTGGCGTTCCCAACCCCCCCCCCCAATGGTATGGTCTGATAGGGTTGGGGTGAAACACTGAATGTTACACATCCAGGTGCCTGTCTGTCTCACGTATCACTTGCATGTATCCATGCCTGTTGCTCAAGGTTCTAGTGCAGTGGAATACAGCTGTGCGCCTGTGGCAAAAGGAGACACCTGAGTGCCTGTGTTCCTGTACGCCTAGCGAGGGGATACACGTCCAGGTTACATCGGCTAAAAGGTGAAGCAGCCATCCACAAAAGACTTCTCGACAGGGATCGGCTGAAGGATGCAAACAACGGAGTTCGGTACTTCAAGAGTTTCTTGCGGCCGCTTTTCGTGAAGGGAGCAGCGAACGTTTTCCTCTACCGCTTCCAACAGTTCATGAACTTGCACCGCGGAAATGGACCGTTGGAATACCAGGTTTCAACTCTCTGTTCAGAGGATGCAAGAATCGTGGAACGACAACTATCTGCCGATCGTGGACCCGAACAATGCAGAGGTCAGAGCATTCGTAGCAGGACTTCCGCCGGAAGAGCAAGAAGGTATCACAGCAGAGCAAGCAATGGAACGAGCCAACGAAAGGCTCAGAGATCAGCATGCTCGGACCATTCCGATCACGGCCAACCTCGTTGCTTTGAGTTTTGTCTCTCTGTCCGACCTTACGCAGGATCAGCGACAGGTGCTGACATCATTGATGGATGGCACGTCGGAGCCGAGTTCTTGCTGATTACAACCTAACGGAGCTGCGTGAAGTTTACCTTGAGATCTTCTGCACGACCAAGACTACCGTCGACAAATTTTCTTCTCGCTCCTTCCGGCCACGGTGGCCGAAAGACATTCTTGGTGATCGATGAAGGATGAAGGCTACTGGGTCGAGGACGAGGAGGATGGCACAGAAGGTTTCCTGGAAGCAGGCGAGGACTCCTTCTGCGTTTACGACGACGAGAATTATTCATGGTTCCAGCGACGCTTCCAAGGTCGCAAGATGAAGCGCGGATTCAAGGGCCACCGCCACCGCAAAGGCAAAGGAAAAGGTGGAAAAGGATCCAAAGGAAGGCGTTTCTTCAGACGGAAGAAAGGCAGGTCTAACCTTGCCGAAGAATCAGAAGCATGGCAAGCAGAAGGACAATGGCAAGACAGCCAATGGAGTGATCAGTCCTGGGATGACTGGTCCTGGTATGAGTCTGAGGAGTCCTATGCAGCCAAAGGAAAAGGAAAGAAAGGGAAGAAGGGCAAAGGAAAGAGCAAGTTTGGCAAAGATGGAAAGGATGGAAAGTCCGGGAAAGACGGACAAGCCCAGCTTGCGGATGCTGCCCAGAGCGGCACCACAGCCGGCACGACCTTCTTCGTTGAACACGTCAACCCCGTGAACCTTTCTTTCATGGCCACCGAACAACAGATCGACAAGATCGAGGAAGCATTCATCTCTCAGCCCTTGACGCCAACCGCGATGGTGCTGGACTTGGGGTGCACGAGAGCTATGGCTTCGAGAGTGGCCGCGCAGGACCTCATGGAGTTCTGACTGTGGCATTTGGTACACCATAGCTGAGACCACTTCTCAGTTCACCTTTGCCAACTCCGAGTCGACCAAGTGCACTCAGAAGTTGAGCATTTGCATGTACGACCGAGAGTACGCAGTTCAATCGACAGAGTTCGACATTGTGGAGCAAGGGCATGTTCCCATTCTCATGTCCTTGCCGCAGATGCGCAACCTCAGGTTCCAGTTCGAACTCCATCCGGACAAGGCCTTGCTTAGCAGCCCTGTACTACTGGGTATCAAGGATGTGAAGCTAAAGGTTGCTCCTAGCTCACATCTGGTACTTGATCTTCTCGATCTCAGCAAGTTGATGTGGAATGTGCGGTTCAACAAGCATAAGAAGTCGAGCTTCCTCACTTACTTCTCCCACTACGAGTACGGTTTCCACCAAAAGACCGAGGGATGCTCTTCTCAGGAAGAGGTACCCGAGAATCTCGTATTGGCGACGGATGATGAGTGGGTTATCAACGAAGCCGACATGGAGATGATCCGCATCCACAAGAAGATGAGGAAGGTCAAGTATGAACCCAAGGCGGGCTCATTGGAGTATCTGGACAACAAGCGCAAGACGATCATGCAGTTCTGCAAAGGCAAGAGCGTTACTCGGGAAGATGACTGGCGTTCTTCTGAGCCTCCTACCACAAGAACAACTGATTCTTGGAATGGTAGGACCATCTTCAATATTCTGCCTGGAGGTATCGAGAGTAGGACCTCGGTACCAGCTAAGTCCCGAGATCCAACCCGTTCAAAGGTAGGATCGCCAGAGGACATGATTAGCAAAGGCAAGCCTGAAGACAGCTCGAAGAAGACAGGAGCGACCGGAAGCTTTCCTCAAGGAAAGGCACCGATAGCAAGAAGGATTCGAGCCAAGGGAAGCTTTCCTCCGGGAGAGGTACCCAAGGAATCGGCTCCTCCTCCTCTTGCTCCTGAGGATGATCCGGATCTTCAAGAGTATGCACCTTCCGAACCGGAGGAATCAGATTTGCTTTTTTCAGAGCCCCAGAGGCTCAGTCACTAGAACCTAGGAGGATCGCGCTTCCATTGCCAGGCCACGAGGTCTCAAGGGCTTCTCCGCAGTATCAGCGCATGTTGGAAAAGTTGAACAACGATGTTGAGCTTTACAAGTTGCATGTGAAGCATTACCACATGGGTTCAGCTCAGTTTCGACGAAGGGCCAGCATGCTTGGACTGCCAGGAGAGATCTACGACAAGTACGACCGCATTGTCAAGGGTTGTCGTGTTTGTAGCACCTCCGTGCCTACGCCTCCGCGAGCCAGAATCGCAGGATCTCATTTTCGTGGATCCCGAAGAAATCAAGTTTGGTACCAAAGCATACCTGGGTTTGGTCATCATCGATGGTGCCTCGAATCTCCTGTGGGCTACGGCTCTCACAAGCCTGGAAGCGCCCGAGACTCTGGGAGCTTTTCGGCAATGGACAGAGGAGAACAACTGCGTTCCTAAGGGAATCGTAGGTGACCAAGCATTTTTCACACCACAGTTCATGTCCTATTACAAGTTCCATGGCATTATACTCCGTATCCATGCGGACCTCGGACTGCTTGGCCTAACCGAGCTGAGACCGCAGTGCGTTTGTTCAAGCGCACGTGGGCCATCATGGCTCAGGCCTTGGCCGATGAAGGCTACGCAGAGAAGGTGACTGTTCGTCAGGCAATCAAGAAAGTGGCATGGGCTAGGAATTGCCAGCTCACGGTCTCTGGCTATTCTCCTTTGGAGATAGCTACTGGGAGACGTCCAGCTGACTTCTTTGACGTGGAGAACAGTACTGCTGAACAACTCTCTGCTAGACTCGCCGAGGAGGATCGAACCACTCTGGATCTCCACAGAATTGCCATGCGTGCTCATCAGGAAGCCAGACAACCACTTGATCTCCGCAAGGACCTTGCACAAAGAGTTATGCCGT